TGGGTAGGTTTTAACTTTCATTTTTAAGGAACTGTGCATTTTTCAAAAGGGGCATGTCTGAACAGGTGATGGTGCATTAACAAAAATTGTCCTGGAGACAGAAGAAAAATCCTACTGTTTGCTACCCTGAAATAAGAGTGTGGGTTTTATTCCCATATTAATTAATTCTTATAACACTAGTGAGTGAAGTCTTCCCTCAAACCATGCTGAGCAAATACCTACAGATACAGGTCTCCATTCAAAATTAAAGTGATTTTTAAGTGGTACCATTTGGTCTGAAGAGGGAGGAACATTTCTCTGAAAAGAAAGGGCATTTACAGATTCACAGATCTCAAAGCTGAGGCAGATTGCTCAGTCTAGATCTCCAGGCAGGGGAAGGATGGGCTGCCTCCCTCCTTAGCCCAGGGAGGGCATCCAGCCCAGGGTTAACGTGACACCTATCACTTGCCTCTGCTGGTTGTTCTCTGATCTTCTTGTTAAAAAGTAATTGCATGAAACTCCCACACCTATATCTCTTTTCAGATTGTCTGGTTTCAGTTTTGAACCATTAGTTCTTTGAACGTTTCTCTCCAATTCCTCCTGCATAGCTATGCTCTGCCTCATAAGGTACTGCACAAAAACTGAGGCACTTCTCAGAAGTCTGAGGAAACAATTCTTTATATCCATTAGTGCAAATGTGTTTGCTTAGAGGTTGCTACTTTTTTTTTTTTTTCTGTAATGTCTCCTAATTTACAAGCTGAACTTCTAAAAGGTAGTAAGTATATTTTCCCAGTATCCTTACCACTGACCTAGGAAGATTAAATTAACTTTTAATTTCTGTTTATGCATCCAAGGATAAATTCTTATGCCAGTGTTTCCTGTTGGGAGCTCATGCTGAATTACTTGTCCACCAGGTCTGCACAGGATTTAAGGTTACTTGCCACTTTCTGGGATAAAACCCACTTTCTGTAGCTATGAACTGAATGTTTTATATACTGAATAAAAACATTAATTTAAGACCAAGTGCCACCAGTTTCTCCAATAATCCCCATATTCCTAATGGAAACTATTTTGAGATTTTTGGTCAGCTCCTATTCTTGGTATTGTGTGATACTGTGTAATGCTCATGTTTTGCTGAGAGTAATGTGATACTTCATGTGATAATTAAGTGACAAGCACTTGAATAATCCTAGATACACTTGTGCTATAATCCTTATCAATTCTCCTTTTCAAGTAGAAAATCCATAATAACAAAATAATTAAAACTCCCAAAAGAACAAAGGAACTTACTTTTCAGAAAACCATACTGGCTAATGTGAATTCTTTATTATTTGAGTCCTCTATCAGCGTTTGCATTATTTGGCCCAGGATGTCTGTTGATGCTACCTGACATAGAGTAACCCAGTTCATTCCCTAGTTAATGAATGAGTGTTCATAAATTTGTCACATTTGTGCTCTTCTGGAGGTGCCATGCTGTTACAAGTTGTTTTTCAGTAAGGCAGGCCTCTGCCTGCCTCAGGAGCATGTGGTGCCAGCAAAGCATTTAATGTTGGAACTGAGGAAGTGGAAATATTTTCACAATCTGTTTACATCCTAAGGAAAAAGGACTAAAAAATCTGACAAATGCCCTTTGCCCACAGATTTCTGAATATGCTTATTCTAACAAATACAGCTTTCATAGTCATCCTGTCTCACTACATTTATCATTATTCTCTTTGTCAAAGTAACCAGCATTTAGAAACAATGAGAAACCATACCCTGAAATTACAGAATCTGACATCAAAGAAGGCAGCATAATTTTTGGAGAAAACTGGCATGTTTGCCAATTAGTTTCTTTACCTGTCTATACCAACTTGCCCTTAAAGATTTCAAAACACTTAAAAAAATACAATGAGCTCTGTAACAAAGTACAAACATGCTGGGAAAGCTAGAAGGGGTTGCTCCCTTCCTCTTAGCAACTAGCTGTAAATGCAGATGTGTCTACATCCTCTGGCAGGGTAGTATCTGGCAGCTCTCCTGGTGGGCACCGAAGCCTCCAGAAGGCTGTCTGAAGCCAGCTAAAACAAGAGGTCCTGGGCAGTAATCTCATCACCTCTCCTTCCCTCCCAGCCAGGCTTTAAATGATAGGTTGCTGTCACAAAATCTGTGGAGTAACTGGGAATTGCAGGCTGTCATGTGCCTCCTCCTGTTTTGTTTCTTTGGCTGTCACATTAACAAGGTTAGCTGTATCTTAATTCTGGGCTTTATGCTGATATGTAGAGCCACCAAAAAGCTTGCTGTCAATGTAACTGAAAAAAGAAAGTGTGGTGTAGATTTTTATTAGACATGATTCATAGAGATGTTAAGACCCTCTTTCTTTTCTATATAAATGACTAGTTGAGTGACAGTAACTTTTGATAGACACTATAAAGAATAATGTGCTTTCTGTAGTTTGAATATTAAACACTGGATGAATTATCATATCCTATATGTGAATATGTAGTATTTTTATGAAACTCACAACTTGGCTGAATTCCCAGAAACCTTTGAGACAGTCATATAGAAGTGTTACTGATTCTTATATCTGATTAGGAAGCTTTACAAACTTGCCTTGTGTAAACTTGGAAGCCAAACTACCTGTAACAAAAATAGTAGAAACCATCTATGTAACTTATTCCTAAATAAATGTTACTTTGAACAATACTCTTTTAAGCTCTATCTGGATGATGCAATGGCTAGCAAACAAGTATATTCTGTCAAATATAAAATTCCATATATGTATATATACCTGCATTTTTAAAGAGAGAATGAAATGTGTTAGGAAATACTAAAGATTTGATCTACAAAATCCAAAGGGAAACTTCAATAAGTTGAACCAGATCCTTTGCTCCTTAGTCATTTTTCCAAGCAAGTTCTAGGCTAACATGATATGGCAAAACCAATGAGAGCATGAAAATAGGGGGGACATTTGTGTGTGTTACTCAGACAGATGATTGCTTCTTCAGGATTACTTCCTCTGCTCCACAGATAAATCTCATCTCTCAAGTGCTCTGAGTAAAATAAGCAAGTTAAACTCACAAGCTGTCTACTACATAGCTTTGTATTGGCTTACTGTATTCCACACCTAAATACAAGATTTTAAGCCAGAAGCTTGTTATCATTCTCCCTCCACCATATCAGGTTTGTCTTATCTTAAATATATTGCCCCATTTCACCAACCATCTCACAGTTGGCATCTTTCCATTTTATGATTATTACAGTATTACTTTTGAAAAAAAGAGTATAGGTTCTTATGACAGTAACTTTTATTTTGCAGCATTATAAATGTTTTCAGAGCTAGACAGTGACAGGAGAGAATCCCTATCTTCTGGAAATACCTATTAGTCCTGTTCTGTGTTAGTCATTAAACAGCCATTTAGTACCTGATGATGTTTTAGACAAAGGCTACCCATGACAGACACTGTGGGAAAATAATTCGTAAGACAATGGCAGACTAATTAAGGCCTTGAATAGCTTTATTGAAATCTGTATAAATAAACATGCGCATTTCAAATGTAAACCCAAGTGAAATCAAGTGCAGACAAAATTTTAACCTCTGTCATGCAGGAGGTTAGTTTACATTTAAAAAAAAACAAAACAAAAACAACCTCAAAGCAGCTTTAAAATACCAGGATGAAACACCAGTTTTAATATCAAGGTATAAAGCAAAGCCATGTCCAACATATCTCATTTATATCCTGGTCAAATGCAATTTTTTAAACTTTTTAATGCTAACATAAATAAATAATTTACCAAAATGTGCACTCACAGAGTGAACTTTTATTTACAATACACAATTTATAACCTATTGTATTTGATTAGTTCAAGTGAAGAACATCATACTTTTTGCTTTTTTCTTTTTTAAATTATTTGTTTCAACAGTGGGACACAAAGCAATTCTCCAGGTAGTAGATATGTGAAGTGTGCCCACACACTTAAGAGCCTCTCCCAAAGGCAGTATTGTATACAAATCAACAATACATTCTTCCAACTAGATCAAAGGGAAAGCAGCAAATTAAAAAAATGTATCAAACTGTCACACTTATTTTGGCATCCTGGACCCCTGAACATAGTTAACTAAAATCCAATTCAAAGTCTGTATGCCTTTTATACTGTACAGGTTCTGACTTGAACATGCAAACGCCAATTCTCTTATAATGAGTTACCTTTTCAGATATGCTGTAAGGCTATGGTGAATTCCATCAGGAACACACAAAGAAAATTAACAGGCCTACCTTTAAAGCCATTTTGTTCATTAACAATTTAAAGGCAGGTTATATTGAAAAAATTCTCATCTAAGCCCGATACACAGTCATTACTATGGATACAGAATACTATTAACTCCGACCCTATTACAATGTAGTTTGCAAGCTGCCAAACTACAAAAACTGGGGAGAACTTACAGCACAATTTTAAATTTTGGACTGACACCAGATTAAAATTATGCATGTCTTATAAGCAAGTTAACAGGAATTATGTCTGCAGAGTAGATTCCAACAAGCAACAAAGGATACTTACATTTAATTGAAAAACTTTTTGTTAATGCAGCATGAAATCCAGAACCTGTTCCACAGCAGCAGTAAGATGAACATAATATTCTGGATGCTCAACTATATCACAAAAGGTTAAAACACCTTTTCAAGCTATTTCTTCTACTGTGGCCGAATTAAAAAAAATAAATTTAAAAAAAGGGAGAAAGAAAAATTTGTTTTTTCAAGAAAACTACTGCTTATATATTTATGACATCTTTACTTGTAGCCTGTGTGACAGCCTAAGGAATATGTATATATTCATCCAGAAACTAGACTTGGCAGTAGTATTCTTGCAGTACTAAGAAAATAAATGTCCGAAGTCCACAGATTTAACATTTTAGTTATTAACTCACATCCAAAACAAAAGAAAACATAATCCATTAGAACAGCAGCAGAAAACTTAAAAGGGGTTTATTTGTGATTTCCTATATAGAGCTTGTGAATACAAGACTGTAAATGCATTAGAGACAATTTCTGTTAAACTTTTTATTGTTTCACTTCAAGTACTGCACATGTTAAAATGTAATAAAGATTTACATTCTGTTATCTGAAATTCCCCTCTCAGATTTTTATTCTTAATTTGGTGGGCAATTTCACTCTTTCAATAGGTATCCCCTGTGAAAGTCTCTTTTATGGCTTCTAGTTCTTCCATTAGTTAGTGTGCATACAATTTTCATTTTCTATATCATTATCATTTTCATTGCTGTCCTCATCACTTTCTAGTGGGATGCCTGTGGCAGCTGAAGCACCTTGTTTTGTTTCTCGGTCAAGAGGGAAAAAGCCAGTTCCACTGATCGTGTCCTGTCTCTGGTAGAAGAGCACATATGCTGCTTTGGACTGTAAAAGAGAAAAGTGTAATATGGTCATAAGGTTTCAGCAAAGCATATACAATCCAAGTTCTCAATTTTTTTGCTTCCAAGTCCCTAAGGTAACATTACAAAGAAAACCAAAGCCTTCATCTAAGTTTTTTTTGCATGTCTGGAGCGAACCATTTTTGTTTTGTACTGTCCTTGAAAGAACACAAACTACTACCTACAAATTTACTTCAAGGTTAATTATTTTTTCCCCTCAAGAAGAAAACATCATCAACAATCCCAATTTTATAAATACAAAAGGTACTTGCCACTATTTGGTCCTCACATGCAGTGGACACACTACTGTCATCAAAGTAGTACCATTTTCCATCATCCTTATTTTTTGCAAAGGCAGTATCTAGGACAAAACAAAGAACAATATCTGAGGACTTAGTATTTTCATAGATGTGACAGTATCGGTTGCTAGAGTCTGTTACTGTCAAACACTTGACATTTAACTAACTAAAACCTATTATCACTATCAGACTCATACTTCCACACTTCCTTTAAGCAAAGAAAGCTTAATCAATAACATTCTGCTTCAGATGAGAATGTATAACGAGAAAGGACAGCCAAAATCCCTCAATCACTTTTCATTCTTTTGTCTTCTTTCAAGAAGATGCATGATGTACAAAAATACAGACAAGTGTGACAAAGTATGCATATCGACAAGTATTAAAGACCCTACAATTACCCTGGAAAGTTCATTTTGTATAGATTTTTGTGTTAGAATGCTTGTGAAAGCATTTCAGAGAAAAAAAAAGTAAAATTAATTGTCCTTTCAATCATTAAAAAATGCCATTGATTTAAAGTGATCGAAAATTAAATAAAAATAAACATGGGAAAAAAAGCTAACATGTAGAACGATGACATTTGCCATCAACTTACAATGCCCTCCTCCCATTCCTCCATAGTGGTTGGAGACCGCAATCAAGTTGTAGCGGCAAGGCCCTGCATTGGGATTAATAAGGAACTCTGACATGTCCAAGTCACTGTTTAAAAACAAACACAAAAACAACACACACACACAAAACCAAAACAAAAGAAGGTCATGTTAATAATACTTTTAAACATTTCACTTTTTGATGGTCTTTGAGCCGTTCAAGTTGTATTCCCCACAAAAAACAAATACACCAGACTACACTGACAGTACATTTCTCTCACTCTTACATGGAGTGCTACAGGAACCAGCAGTCTTTCCCAAAACTACTAACAAAGTTCTTCCATGCTTACCTACAATCGTTATTTTTTCAAGTCCATAATCCTCACCTACAAGCATTTTGTCTTCTGCGTTTACTGGATCCACACACATACAAGCTGAGAACAACACCATTTTACGCAATTGCTGGATTAGTGTCCTAGTCATGCTAACTTTTACAGTTCTAAGCACCAAAACATTTAGGTTTCTTACTTTATTGGAAAGTCAACCAATGTATCCAGCTTGTCCCTCATGTATCTGCTGTAGGAAAAGCGCTTTAGATGAACTACCAGTACGGGGGGCAGTGACCACAAGTCTAACTTCTTGGTAGCCTGCTGATGCTCTTTACAGTTTGGGCAATACCTAAAAGACAAAACAAAACCCAAACAATTTTAAATACATGCAGTCAGTCTGTATGTTGAAATGCATCACCACAGTGAAAGCCAGTAACATGGGAGGAACTGAACAAGCAAAAGCTGAAATACACACACGTTCTACCTTCCGTTACTAATGCCATTGACATTTCTTCCACCTTCAAACGTGAGGTGCTAGTGCACAAGTGTGCTCACAGTGAAGCTCGACAGCACCCCCCAAAATAGAGCTCTCGTCTCCTGTAGTAGTCCCTGTATCTTTAGTTAAAACACAGCTTTTTTCCAAATTAAAATTTGGAAGAACCATGAATCCCAATAAAAGCGTCTGCCAAAACCAGAATGATTGGAACATTACTTTGAGAAGTTCTACTGACCACAGACATTCCCCATTCCTCAAGCCTGTTGTCTAAGCACATCCTCATTCCTTGTATCAATGACAAGGCAAGTTATGTATTCACATTAAAAAAACTTCAGTATGCACCAACCTTCCTTATCTCAGAAAGAATTTTTTGCTTAAACCACTGCATTGGATTTAGCACAATATTATTAATTCACTGTGGATGACAGTTCACATGCTAGAACATCTTATGGATCTACCCTTCCTCCTAGTTTTGAATGCATTGTCTCCCATCTAAAACATAACCTTCTATATATGGTAACAATTTTAGTTAAGCAATGGATCAAAAGAAAACATTTTGAAAATTTTCAACTACACTTGAAACGACAGTATTTGAAATACCATTAAGAAGTTAAATAGCTATCTCTGTTACTGTTCAAGTGTGCTTTTGATTAAATTTTGAAAAACAGATCATAGAAGACAATGAAATTAATTTTTTGTACTTACCATGGGTCTTCAGCACCTAGTTTTTCCTTTGTTGTGAACAGCTCAATGCAATCTTTTAATTTCACAAAAGGCTTTTTGGGAGGCTTATATTCCACACTTTCATGTTTTTCAAAATCCTAAAGAGAAGTATTTCTTGAGTTAAGAGAACAAATGAAACAAAACTCATTTTAGTGATGTCGTCTTACTATAAGCAGTAACTACAAAGCTCCTATGCATGGAAAAACTGATCAGAAACCATTCAAGTAAAAAGTTTTCACACCTTCAGATTCACTTCAAAATTAGCAAGCCTCAGATTTGCTAATTACTTAGATGTGCAAATGGCATTTATTTACAGCAACATGTTTACTACAAATAATGTGAAAAAAAGATACACTAGCTGCTTCTTTTGAACACTTGAAATCTTTTATGTCACGTTAATTAAGTTGTATTTTTCACATTGAAGTTTTATTAGTGCTGGGAATGGGAACAATATAAACAGCTTACCTCCGCTGCACTATCATCGAAATATCTCTTCTTCAATTCAGGATCCCAATCCAAAGCAAGGAAAGATCTTTCTAAGATTAAACACATGTTTTCTCTTAATATTATTTCTTGCTTTACATGAAATTGTATTAACTTTGGGCATACACTCTTCAAAAGGAATTAAACAGTGTTGGCAAGAATTTAAGACAAGAAACTGAGGCACGCACAATTTCTGCACTTCTAAGTGTTAATGACAATAATAAATTAATCATACTGAATTTACTATTGGAAAATAATGTATTTAAAATAGCACCCAGAGAGAATGAAACATTATGCTGTGGAAGTGGAGTCAGAAAGAAAGGTATCAGAATCAAATGTTGCCCAATCTGTTCCCCAGGTCTTACCGTCAAGCCTAGGTTGCCGATCATCAAATCTAATATGCCTGGTATCATCTTTGATGTAATTTATGTCAGTATTGCCTAAATTATTGAACTGGAATGTAAACAATCGCTTTTTGTGTCCCATAAGTGGTTGACCTTTGCAAGTATCCTCAGTACATAATCCATTTTCAGAGTCATTATCACCTCCAACTGAATCTTCTGACTGGCTGTTTTCATTCTCTGAAGGAAGTTCCTGATCCTGGCTGGATTCATCATCTTGTTCATCTGTTTCCATTTCACCTGAAACCATTGGAAGAATGAGGAAGAAATGACTGAACTGACTGAAAGACACAACAGAATTGACTTCAGTTCAAAACTGAACACAAAATACTGAACAAGTATTTTTGTCAAATACTGCAGTCTTACTTGGAGATCCTTCTTCATGTATTCCATTTGGGCCATTACCATTGATACCATGGTCCTTACAGCAATGTAGGGATCCTTCAGTGTCTTCACTTTCAGTACATGTTTTAATGTACCGACTAAATGTAACAAGTGAAAGCAACAGTTAGAATCAATGGATCTTTAAATATTTACATTGTTCAAGCCAGATGGCAAATCCTTTCTAGTGTACCATATTCCTGCACTGCTTTCTGATTTATTCAGAATTAACAGTTTCATTGTCTAACATGTCTGCTGTTACAGGCACATATGAAACCCTGCTCATCTATAATCTAGTTTTTCTGGCAGTTGCATGACTGTATATATCTTGATTTTTGGTGTTAGTCTCTGTATATCCAGAAAGCAGTTCATTAACCATATTTTTTACACACACACAAAAATGGGCTCACTTACAGTGAAAGTTACATGAACAGAAAATGAAGCATAAATTTAAATTGGAGGTTCTATGATTCTAATTTCTTCTAAATAATGACACTTATTCCAGTCTAGTCTTTGCAAGTATCTACCATGTAGTTTTACAACATAAATGAGTATATAAACTTGTATAGTAGATAAAGGAGGTGAAAGCATTGCAGAGTAATTGGTAAAACACTTCCATTTTACCAAGCCCTAACAAGCAGTTATGTACACAGCAGAACTGATGCCCTACATTGACAATAACAATTGACTCTCTATTGTCTCCTGAAATAGTTTCTGGATGATGCTAACAAAAAAGCAAATAAAAATCCATGCTGATTCACATCTTAAGTGGCTAAAATTTTAGATTTAATATATTTGATAGAAAGGAAATAAAAGGCTAATACTCAAATCTAATCAATTTGTTAGCAATGCATGGAGAAACAAGTGCCTACTGATTCCAACTATTATCATTATTCATGACAAATGCATTTTTCTTTAAACAATAACCTTACCACATTCTTAGCAGCAGCAGGTTATACAGTTTATCTTCAGTATTGTTTCTAGGCACTGCTATGAGAAAAGGTTGACCAAACAGTGAAGAACCACTATGGCTGTAGCTTGTGTGCCTGCACTTTTCCCTTAAACAAACAGGAATTATAACTTGTTCTGTATCTTCTGTTCTATTGATAGCAATTTCAAATCTAAAAGAACAATCAGAAATACAAAGGAGAACTGTAATTTAAAAGGCTACAAAGGGGAAAAATTAAAAAATAATACAACACCCAAGACTTGTCTTTATCTTCTGTCTAGGTTTTAAACTTTTGCAAATAACTAAACAAACTGCAGAGACAGGAAGCATGTTATCTGTACTTACACATAAATGTCATCACGCTCCATAATACTACTTAGATTTTCATCCATGCCAAATATCCTGTGGAATCTATGATTGTATATATCAGTAACAATCATCTAAAAAGAAAGCAGAGTATGCATCGTTAAATCAGGTTGATTTGTATTAAAATGTTAATTGTTGTGCCTTGTATAAGAAATCATTCTTACCTTATCTGCAGCAACCCCAGACAAAGCTGACAATGCTGTGCAAAGATCCAATATATTTCCAATTTTGGGAACAACTACTTTGTACTAAAAAAATAAAGGGTCACTTTAATTTCTTGAAAGAACAAATATGTGTGAGAAAAAAACAAACTTATCAGGTACTTCATGTTTCAGATTCCTGAACTTAAGATGTAAATAATATAAATCAACTAACACAAATTCTGTAAGTTGCTGAAAACACAGTAGTTACATTCACAACTTTACTCATACAAACACGCACACTCTGAATACATTTATTAGTTTATACAATGATTTTTAAAATGTTATTTTACTTTCCTCATAAGAAGACTAACAGTTACAATTACTCAGATTTACATTTCAACAGCACCTACTTATCTAAAGCCTTTAAATAATATGCATGCTATTGCATAGATTCTTAAAATTGGAACACAACTTGAGTTGCTTATAAAGTATTACTGGGGAAAAAAGCAATGGCAGGCAATGGATAAAGACTGAATTCTAATTTCACATGCAGAGAGAGAACCTGAAGATTAACAGTCAAAGATAACCTCTCTGTGGTTTCCCTTAGTGCAGTACACCTGCAGTTTGTAATGAAACTCCACACACAGGACTCTTACCTGTTATTTCTATAATAAACAAAGACAGGATTAATTAGAAATAAGGTATTATAACTTTGTAATTAATTGCCAAGTGCAGCACGTTTTTGGTATCTCCTCAGTCTTTATTTATTTATTCTCCTCAGTCAGTTATTTAGACTCACAAAAGCTCTACTGAACTTGTACTCTTCCCAATCTCTATTCATTCCTGCAAAACCCTGTCACATGCCATCCAGGGTCATCTTTAACTGCTGTATGTCCCTTGTGCATACCTGTTCTCACAAATAATTAAGTATCTAGCAGGCTCATCTCCCACTAGTTAAGACATGTCCCTTTATCTTTGACTTCCCTAACTCATATTGTTTTTGAGAACACTCCCTCACTCTCCTTACAGTACTCTGATTTCAAGTGCTGAAGCCCCTATGCAAGTCTGCCTAACTGCTCATGTTATATTTCCCCCTATCCTTGCTCACCCCATAAGGTCCAGCTAGAACCATTTCACCACAATTTTGTAACCATAATGTATGCACATTGTTTCATGCCATCCTAAGGTATGTAATACCATCCTTCCTAAAAAAGGCAAGAGATGCTCTTTCCAAAGAAATATAATCTGAATTTTTTTCTTTTGACCATTAAGTGATAGTGCAGAAGAATTAAGGAGTACCTAATATATTTAGTCATGGTTTTTTTTGTGTCACTTATTATCAATACTTGCCTTTTCTGGAATATTTGCCTAATAAACTGAGGAATTAAGTTTGGATTAAGTGTGTATCTTTTTAATAATCCTATAAATTAATTACAGCAACACTCAAATAAAAAATGAGGATAGCATACATTTTAAAGATTAAGAAACCTTATTAGCACAACCAAAGAGAAATTACCAGCATCTTCCTTGAAACTGACAGAAATATAGAAAGGTATGTATAGTCTTCCTCAGGCATTTTAAGTGGAACTTCAGAACATACTGGAAAACTAAAGCTTGTTGGATTTGTTTATTGTACTTGTACATTTTTAAAAAGTAAAGGAACTCAGCTTCACTGTTAATGCCACATTAATCAGGAGTTTTGTACACAAATTAAGAGGCTTACCTGCATAGGCTTTGCCAGTGGATCCATTCTAACTAAATAAACTTCCAAGGTGCGTTCTTTTTTCATGGGTAATGGAAGTGTCAAGTAACAGAAGGGATCAAAGGTTACAGATATCTTAGCACATTCAGGACAAACTAAGGTGGATTTAAAAAGGCCATGAAATATGTCTACAATGATGGAATCATTTCTTTTTAAATGGTTTTCCCAGGCTTCTTCAGCAACCACCTGCAATTAAAGCATGGCCTGGGTTAGTGACATAGTAGAAAATTAATAGTAAGACTTGATTGAACATTCTCAGTTGCCATCTAAACTTAGAAATATCACTCCAAAAGATCCTATAAGGTATGTTACAACTGTCCAGATCACAGGTTAAAAGGTGTATGTTTTTTCCCAGGACAGAGATTCCATCAGTGGTATTAGTCTGAGAGAGACTTCAAGTGGTTTGGGGAAAGACTAAAGCAAATAACACCAAAAATTCTCTCTGATATAACTCGTACTTGCAGCAAAAGTAACTACCTATGTGCTTGTAGCTCAATGATAGAAGAGTTTCCCTAATGTAAAAGTAGCGAAGAGAGAAAGAACGCTGCATACAGTAGAAATAAAAGAACAACAGAATGGAAATAGCTTTTCCAACTGAACTCACTGAATTAACAAAACGGTCTTAATAAAGCCTTAATTCCTTAATTATCTTCCAAATAAACAGAAATTTACACAGGTACTTGACTAAGATCTCAATTTTAAGGTCCTGGCTTATTTTCTGAGATATCTTCCAGAAAAAGCAACATGTAATCAGTGTCCCAAACTTTCAGTGCAAAAGCATGTAGAAGTACCTTGCAATGTACAGCCTTGACTAAAACAAAGAAGGTCAACACCAAAAACATTACCTTGTCAGGTCTCCCATCTGCATCCTTTAACTGAATGTAAGGCTTTTTCCTGATTCGATTCAAATCTTCATGTAATCCATCCAAAAGAAAAGCCAGTAGCTCTTGACAATCTTGTTGCTGATAACCAGAAAACTGTGGTGCAAATCGTCCTACTTGTGTCTAAAAAAAAATAACATAAATACTTCTGGTACCTAAATCGTTATAAAGAACAGATACTACAGCAGAAAGGTGAAAAGGTAAAACTTACAGAATTATAACAGGTAAGCCTTTCAATGGAGGCACAAAGCCAAAATAATTCACAAAAACCACAGCACAAAGACAGCAAACACATTTAAATATATATCCAAGTGTTTTAAAAGTTAAATGAATATTACTTCCAATTTCTATTATAGCATATTTCCATACATTTAAACTGACAGGGTACATTTAGGTTAAATTCCCTACTGACCTTAAATGCTCTTGGGGTAACATAGCTGTATTTTCCTGACCACATTTGCTTGATAAGCTCTGCATAAGATTTTGCTATTTCACCTCGCATTCCTAAAGGATTGTCAAAATTCAGCTCTTCTTGGTATTTATCATTGAGGAAGTATTCTGTAAGAGGAGGTGTGTTGCTCAGACACTGTAAACAGAAATGCAGACATTTCAGAACAGTGTTTTGAATTAGTTCTAAACAAAGAATGTTTGAACGTTGTTAAAGCAGCTATGAACAATACTTTAAACTGTAATGCATAATGTCTGCAAGGAAAAAAAAAGAATGGCTGCAGTTATTGTTGCAACTTATACACAGATAGCATTTTTCAAAAGCTTTATATCGGAATTTATTAAACATTCAACCACAGTGTTACAACACAATTTATATATAGGTTCAAAACAAATATATATAGGTTCAAAACAAATAAAATAATATGTTAATAGCAGCTTTATGAAACTCCTTGCTGCTATAGATGCACAAAGCTTACAGGGTGTCAAGGGGAGACTGCATAGGTACTTGGGAGAGAGGGCATAGGAACAGGAATCATTGTAGAGTGGCTTGAGTTGGAAAGGACCTTACAGATAATTTAATTCAACACCCCTCGCCCCCCCGCATCTTCTCTGCTGATCTCACCTCATTGCACAATAAACATGCATCTCATTAACCTGACAAAAACCTTGCGTTTCCTCCTAATTTTTCTTCTGGATTATTTTGGGCTGGTTTAGGAGATCAAATCAGTTCAGCTCATCAGGAAGATTACTACAGATAACTGCCCTTTTCCTTATAACAATTCCACACTCTAATATAAGATGAGACTTATGGTAGTACTGGAATGTGTAAGTATCTATCTGAACGTGGTAATTTCTGAGATACAGAATTGACACGTTTTCCTACAACATCAGGTGCCACAACTTTTAAAAGAATAGCTGCTAAAGGAACTAATAAAGTTGGCCATAAAACCACTGATTTTTTCACCATAACTGAAAAAATGGAACAGTTACAAACATGCTTTTCTCTTGAAAAGGCTAATAATGGAGAGGTCATGATTATCTGAGTCACAGGGAAACAGGCACCCAGAAGACAGTTTGAAAGGAAACCTACAATCTTGTTTTCTCATTATGTGATACATTGTAGCTTATTAAAGAAGCTTAATGGAAAGCATTAATATAAATAATAATAATAAAGAACTACTGGAATGAAGACGATCAATAGACAGCAAAGTTATCACATTTCTGTGCCCTGTTCCACCTAGTGGCTTTGGTGTTTTTCTTCGTTTTAAAACACAGACATAGGTAAGGTAACAAGTATATGGACAGATGAAGATTAACAGAAATTTAAAAAAGCTAAATACAGTAAAAACAACAGAAAACTGTTTGCAAACTAAAGACGTAACAGAATGGCACCTCATTTCAGGTACTGCAGTCTTCACGAGTTTTGTTTAACCAACAAAACTTCAGCAGAGTGCTCACTCTCTGAACCCAAACTGGTCATTTAGCTAAGTGATCACGGGAAAAGATGCCAACAGAATGTAGAAACTCCAAGACCAAACATGAGACAAATGATGGAAGAGAAGGATTGGTCTTCAGCATGACAAAGATTAACACTGAAATTATAGTTCCCTGTTACATATTAATTACTTGGAAAATAAGGAAAAAACCTAATTCTTCAGTAGCAGAGCAATCTGTGGCTAACAACTATTCATATAATTAGTATAAAGGGATGACAGTACACCTCCAAGAAAATTTAGACAAACTACAGCTCGATGAAGCAATGCTTCACAAAATCTGTGCATCGACTGTTTTAAGCAACACTGCACGCAGTGCTGGTGTTCACACACATGCATACAAACACCATGAAAGAATTCTGAACTACTGAATAAAAAAGGAGACTTAATCACCATTAAAGACACACGTAACCTACAGTTTAGAAAGCAAACCTGTAACTAGTAAGGTGTGGGAGGCATTAACATGCACAGGAAATAATCCTTATTTTTAGTGCATTTAAAAAAATTATTTATTTATTTAGGTATCCATGCTGTAGCCTCACTGGAATACTGTAATTCCAATACTAGACTATAATCTTGTTAGCAAGTCTATCTGTCCCCTGAAACTTTCATAGAGGTAGAAAAATAATGATAAAAATAGTCACATTATCTCTCTCTAAATCTACATAATTTAAGTATGGAAAAACTCTCATAAAAGATTTTGCAAGGACTCTGATTGTTTCATCGATAAAAGAAAATAAAATTAATTAAGAAAGAGGGTCACCAAGACAGTCAGGGGGCTGGAGCACTTGCCCCATAAAAAAAGGCTGAAGCATTAAGGCTTTTTCTGCCTGCAGAAGATACTGTTTCAGGGAGACCCAACAGCAGCCTTCTGGTACCTACAGAGAACTTGGGGAGAAGATGGAACCAGACTCTTCACAGCAGTGCATACTGGGAGGACAAGAAACAAAAGCTGAAACAAGGAAGGTTAATGATACAAGGAAAAAAGCTTTCAGTGTATGAACAGTCAAGCAGCAGAGCTGAGAGGCTGTGCAGCCTTCTTAGAGGTTTTCAAGACTCAAGTGGAAAAAGCCCTGGGCAACCTGCTTTGACTTCAGAGCTGACCCTTCTTTGAGCAGGAGGTTGCACTTCTAACCCTGATTATCCTGTGATCCTAAGGTAATGAGGAAACATGTATTCACATCCCAGAATGGTATTACATAGAAATAATGATAAAAATATAATTTCAAAGTAAAGAAAAACATTATTATGCTGTACTTATGCCAGTACACTGGGGAAATGGGAAGCAGACAATGAGATAATGAAATTGAGCTGAAAACTGAGTGTTCCTGTAAGTATCATGGTCTTTCAGCTATCCTACTTAATAACAATTTTATGCAAGAGACATTGAAATTTTCTATTTCAGCCTTTTAAGAAAAGACCAAGAGATGACTGACTGAAAGAAAGATGCAAGCAATAGAAGAAAAAGTGAATTCCTTCACATCTCTCTCTCCTACTGTTGTCTGAAGCACCTAGTGACAGACATGGGGAAAAGTGCTCAACTAATACAACCCTTAACTCAAACTCCTTATGCCGACAGTGAATGAACCAGAGCACTAAAAACATTTCAGGTTTTGGTGAAAGATGTCATGGTGAAAGGCAGACCTGGAAGTACTGGGCCAATGGTAGGACATGATGATATTAAAGGTCTTTTCCAACCAAAATGATTCTATGATGCTATGTTATTTTTTGTCAGGATGAATGTACAGCCGTAAGTAACCTTAGTGGGAATCTTAATCATCTTTTTGAAGAAAGAGAAATGCTGAGATACCCTATTGCAAAGCTCCCAACAGCTGTTTTTCCAAAGTCAAGTATATAGAATCATACTGATGGGAAAAACATAAGAAGTAGTATGTTGGGGGGAAAAAAGTGCTTTTAACTAAAACATTTACTTTCATTTTTCTCATATTTTTGAGTCACAAAATGAAAACTGTGAACTCTCAGATTTTCACTGCAAAATAAAAAAAAAATAAATCCTACTGAACTCTAATCACTAGTATCCCACCAAAAGGCAGAGCAATACTTAGGAAAAATCTACAGGTGGCAGCACAGCAATGCTTCAGAAGAGTATATTCCTAGTTTTTTTCAGCTTACAACATAGCCATGTACATAAGTGATTGTGAATAAAACATCTACTTGCCAAATACTGTTGGGTTTTTTTGCTTTGTATGGGCTCAAGCATTCATAATAATGTGTTTTCACAAAGTCCACCAGTTCCCTCTTGTCTTTCCTGTTTTATTTAATTCTTAGATCCACAAAAGCAGACATATAGGCCTTAATAATAAACATCAAGCCTTAGGTGTTAGAACTGAAGTAAATTAAAATTAGATGCACAGAATACTCCTTCGGAAGAATCTGAAAAATCTATACAAAGGCAAAGTTCCAATACAACCAAAGTATGAAATAATCCAATTACTGCTTTTAAAAATAAGAAATAGTGATAAGAAAACAGCATTTGGGAGAAAGACAATGGTATCTTAAACTTTCTTGGCCTTACTCAAACTCAGACTGCAGCTGCTTGTGTTACCACAGAGGATCATACCTATCTTCATCACCTCTCTTGTTAGTTGTCTTGAGCTTTGTAACACTGAAAGCCCTTACTTGGAAAAGCAAAGGTCTTTCTAAAATAATCACTTAGAAGGATGAGGGGGCAAGCCTAAACTTACAATAGATTGAAGAACTAGTAATGAACTTGAAACAATATTAACAAATTTTGATTCTTAAATTATCACATTTCTATCTATTATGGTTACAGGGTAAAAACTTTCAGACAAGTCTATCAGGCTGTAGGGAGCAAGATGTGCAAGGAACTGGCTCTTTTCTTCAAGGAAGAATGATAACAGTTCTGATGCAAACCATCTTCACTGTACACAAGATGAAAGCAAGAAGCTGTCTGAGAAATGAAGTGATTTCTGAGACAGAAATGGTTTTTATGTAAACACTAAGGGCCTCAGTGCTGTCTGATAAGGATGAAGATCTGAGTAAAGTGGTAATCAACAGGAGTGGATGAACTAAACTCTGCTTCTGTTGCAGGAAGCTATATTGATGACACTCAGCACTGACTGAATGGGAAGGATCAAAGCAGAGCTTTGGGAATAGAACATGCATGTTACTGGAAACTATTTCAGAATCTAAAATCTTACAGTAAACTATTTTGTTTAAAAAAAACAGATTTATTCTGATAACGAACCTTGTCTTGACATGATTGTGAAGGAAGACACCTGAAGAAGGTAAATAAACTACAGTAGGCTAAACAAAGAAGATCACAGAATCACAGAAGAGTTGAGGTTGGAAGGCATTTCTGGAGACTAAACAGTCCAATCGCCTGCTGAAAAAAACATCAGCTAGAGCAGGTTGTCTGGGACTGTGTACAGTTGGGTTCTGAGCATCTTGAAGGATGGAGGCTCCACAGCCTCCCTGGAAAACCTATTCCAGTGTTTGATAACCCTCACCATAAACTAGAATTTCTTCTATTTAGATGGAATTGCTTGTGCTTCAGTTTGTGCCCACATCCGCCTGTGCTTTCAGGGGGCATCACTGTGAAGAGTCTGGCTCAGTTTTCTTTACTTCCCCCCACCAGGCATTTATACTCATTGATAAAATTGCTCTGGAGCTTTCTCTTCTACAGGCTGAATGGTCCCAACTGTTTCTCTTCACCTAGGTAAGAAGATATCCCTTGATCACCTATCTTTGTGGCCTCTCAGTGAACTTGCTTCAGAATGTCACTGTCTATCCTGTACTAGGGAACCCAGAAGTGAACCCAGCACTACAGGGGTGTCTCACCAGTGCTGTGTGGAGCGGAAGGATCACCTCTCTCAGCCTGCTGGCGATACTCTCAGCAGCCCAGGAGGCAGTTGGCTGCCTTGGCCACAGGGTAACACTGCTGGCTGTAGTTCTTCTCTGCCAAGCTGCCTTCCACCTGGTTGCCTGCCCCACCTCTAGACTAGTGCAAGTGGTGCCAGGGTTTATTCTTCCCTTTTGCATTTCCTTTGATTGAACTTCATGAGGTTCTTGTCTGTTCACTTCTCCAGTCTGCTGAGGTCCCTCTGAATGGCAGCACACTCATCTGGTAGATCAGTCCCTTCTCCCAGATTTGTGTAATCTCTAATCTTGATAAGGGTGCACTCTGTTCCATCACCCAGGTCAAAGCCTAGAGCACCCAGCATTCCCAAGTAGACTTTCCTAGTCTGACACTCACATACTATTTGAGCCCATCCCTTTGTTGTTTTTAAGATCAGACAAGATCAAACGTGTTCAGAGTGCTTCAGGCATGGGCATCACACTTCTAGCCAGAATAATCCAATGTTACTCTGATAATTGTAGAAGTTTAAATTGATGGCAAATCAGTGCTGTAAAATGTATGTTTTCAGTAACTGGAAAAAGGTGTCAGTTAAGTAGTGGCAGGAAGAAGACAGTAGAACTTACAGTCCATGATACCTTAGTATGTTAAGAACATGTCATGCTTTCACTAAGAAGCATTTCCATGGATTTCTTAGATAACATTAAGCTGTGCACAAGACTTTCTTTGAGAGAAACAGTAGGTGGAACTGAAAGATACTTTGCACTTCCTTGCTAAGAAAGCTGCCAAATTATGCATTAGAAAATAACACCCCATCAAGGATATATTAAAGGTACCATGGCAAACTAAAAGCTGCACTGCTCAATAAACACCTAATTTCCTAACACAGAGCACTGTCTGGTGAATCAGCAAAAATGAATGCGTTAATTTACACTACAGCTTCTCAGAACTTAACTGAATGCTTGAGTCCCTATATATAACTGAAAAGCAACAAAGTCAAAGCTGACATGATTTAGAATGCAGCCCTCAGAAGTAAATCCAGTTAAGATTCCTAAAGGCAATAATACATGCTCATTATTCTCACCTAAAAGGTTACTTTTAAGTCTACGTATATGAAAACTCATATATACCAGTTTAACAAAGGTTTGATTAAGTAATCAAAAAGGTCCTTGATTTTAATCAGTCTAGCCTGACAAACAGTCTAGCAACATGAAAAAATATTTCACTATGTAAAAAGAATATTCTTTTAATTCAATTTTAAAAAGACAATTCCGGTTCACACTAGACATAAAAATATTTTTCTCTTTACAATAATATAACGATGCAATTCAGTAAGACAGGTTATATAATAGTATTTTTATTTAGAAGCAACACTGCAAATGTGTTTTTAGGCATCTTCTGTGCACCATGCTAAAAAAAAATAATTCATCACTTCCTGTACTGTTCAACTTCTTTTCAAGTATCCTTATGAAAACATTTTTAGAAACAAGAATAAATTGAACTTTATGGGTATCTTATATAAATAAGTATGGAATAACCATGAAACAACCCCATATGTCTCCACTACAGACTGGGGTGGGGGGGGAGGCCGACTGGCTAGAAAGCAGCTTTGAGTAATATGACTCAGCAGTATTTTTCTGTGGAAAACTGGAAGTGCCAGCAGCGCACCCCTGTGGGAAAGGTGGCTGACTGCAAAATGGGCTGGATTAGCAAGAGTAGCCAGAGGCAAAGGGAAGCAAGTCTTCCCCTTTCTTTGCCACTTGTGAGACTTCTGTTGGAGAACTGTCCTGTTTAGGGTTCCCCAGTGTAAGAAAGGGTGGAGCAGGGCCACCAACATGGTCAGGGGGCTGAAGAATAACATACAAGCTAAGGCTGAGAGCTGAATGCATTTGTTCAAACTAAAGAAGGCAGGACCAAGGGGAGGACTCATGGCTGCCTGCAGCTAATGGGAGGCTATGACTACGGAGAAGTGGAGCCAGACTTTTCTCAATGACAGAACTAGCATAACAGACACAAAGAGGAAGTGGGGCTCATGATGATTTTTGGGTCTGTTCTAACCCAAATTATTCTGTTTCTATAAACAATGAAGGGATAAAAAATATGCACAGACAATGAAACTCTGAAGTATTTTTCTTTTGAACAACTTTCAACAGCTTCATAAACTTAGCTTACAAATGTATCTGAAATGACTTTTTTTTTTTTCTCTGAACAAGTAAAGAAGGAATTCAACATTATTATTATTTTTATTTCACCCAAGGAAATCACAAACATTAAGTCAGGAACCCCTGTGATAACAAAGGAGGACGTATTCTGAGCTATGCTTGGTTAAGACCTAGTATCTTTACACTCAGCAGG